ACAGTTGATATAACTGATGAGCCAGCATTTTATTTTGTACTTCCTGACAGACTATTGATCACCCTCAAGACATGAAAGTAAAAATATTTCAAGTTTAAATTATGCAGAAAATAATGGCTTAGACCTATTAGTGGCAAAATCACCTTGACAATAAGTAAATATACTTTCAAATCCCAGTGATGTCATTAGTGCTGAATTAAAGAGGTTGAACAAGAGTTTAGCGTCTACTGCCAGAATAATGTTAACTTCTTCCTGAAGTGATCTCCCACTAAAAATAACAAGTTTCCTTTGGTTGACTTTACTGTTAAAAGGGAAGTCACTTGTTCTCAGTAGTCTGAGAATGTGGATGTGAACACTTGTTCACTGTGATGTAGATTAAGAAAGCCTATGCTTAAATTAATTCTTCTGGGCCAGTTAGTGGGTTGCATACCTCTTTTTCAATGTGTTATGCTGCTGTGTATCCCATGTTCGGGATCACTTTCTCACACAGGCGGGTAGAGGGGCTAACTGAGGTAGTGGGAGGGGAAGAAGCTCTTCTCGACTAGCTGTTCACAAACAGGGAGGAATCAACTGAGAATGTGAGGGTGGAGGGTAACTTGGCTGAGAGTAACTATGAAGTGAGAGAGTTCAAGAGCCTAAGGGGATGAAGGAAGGAGAGCAGCAGAATAAAAATATATTGGACTCAAAAAATGCAGAGTTTAACAAACTCACATAAATGGTATGCCAGGTCCCCTAGGAAGCAAAATCCAAGGGGTAAAGGAGTCCACGAGTGTTGACTGTACTTAGGGTGCAGGAACAAGCTATCCTGATGCAACAGAAAAATAGGAAGCGTAACAGAAGGACAGTCTGACCAGACTGCTCTCTCTTCAATGAGTCAAAACCCAAGAAAGAATCCTATAAAAAGCAGAAATTCAGTCACAGTACTACAGAAGAGTATAAGAGACTATCCAACAGCATGTATAGAAAATTAGGAAGCCTAAGACATGATTTGAGATGTAACCGGCAAGAGACATAAAAAGCAATAAAAAGGGATTTCTACAAGCATGTTGAAAGAGGAAGACCAAAGAAACCACAGATCCCTTACGGAATACAGAAGACAACCTTATTATAGATGATGCAGAGAAGACCAAAGTATTTATTGACTTCACAAATAGGGTCAGCTACCAGATAATGAAGGCAGTTGGCACCAAACGTAGGGAAGGAGACAAGCAGTCTAGAGAAATAGAGGAAAACGTCAGGGACTATTTAGAGATGCAAGATATTTTTAATTCACAAACCTGGATGGGATGCACCTTAGGATACTGAAGGAATTTTCTGAGGTGATTTTGGAGACACTAGCTATCCTCTTTGAAGACTCGTGGGTCAAGTGAGGTATTGAATGACTGGAAAGAGGACAAATATAGGGCCCATCTTTTATGAAAAGAAGGAGGATCTGGGGAATTCCAAACCAGTTGGTTTGACCTCAGTACTTGGAAAGATTATGGAGCGGGTCCTCAAAGAGTCTATTGTGTAGTATCTAAGCGAACAAGGTGATTTGGCACTGCCAGCATGGAGTCATCAAGAGCAAGTCATGCCTGACCAACCTGATTTCCTTCTATGATAAAGGCGCCAGACTATGTGGATGGAAGGAGAGCAGTAGATCTGATAGACCTTGACTTCAGTAAGGCATTTCATACTGGTCAACTACATTCTCATTGAACTAAGGGAATACAGATTAGACATATGTACTGTAAGGTGGCTATAAAACTATTTGCATCATCATGTTCAACAAGTAGTCATCAATGGCTTAAATGTTTAGTTGGAAGGATGCATCAAGTGCCTCCCCCCGCAAGAGGGGGTCTGTCCTGGGCCCAGTATTGTTTAACATCTTCATTAACGATGATCTGGATGATGGGACTGAGCACACACTTGAATTTGCAGATGACAAGTCGGATGGAGCTGTAGACACACTGTAGCGTAGGTTTTGGATACAAAATAACTTGGATAGACTGGAAAAAATGGTCTGCAATCAAATCACATGAGATTCAGTAGGGACAAGTACCAAGTTATGCACTTGGGAAGGGATAACTGCATACACAAATACAGACTGGAAAATGACTGGCTAGGTTGTAGTACTGCAGGGAAGGACCTGGGGTTATGGTGGAGTATAAACTGAATAAGCCAACAGTGTGCTCTTCTTGCAAAAAAGAGCCAATGGCATACCAGACTTTATTAGCAAGTGTCACTTGAAAATCAAGGGATATAATTCTCCTGCTATATTCAGCACTGGTAAGGCCTCAACTGGAGTACTGTGTCCTGTTTTGGACCCCACACTTCAAGAAATATGTGGGCCGATTGGAAAGAGGACAGTGGAGAAAAGTAAAATTATTAGAAGCCTGGGAAACATGATTTACATGGAAAGCCTGAAAGAGCTAGAGATAGTTTTATTTAGCCTAGAGAAGGAGGGATTTGATAACGTCTCCAAATACCCAATGGGCGCTTTCTCTGTGGCAGCAAGTGGAGGCTGAGGGGCATTTGGTGGCTGCCTACAAACTCATTAGGGGAGATCAGCAGCAAATCGGAAGGGCCCTAGTCTCCCCAGCAGCACCTGGGGTGATGAGGAACAATGGCCAGAAGCTGCTGGAGAATAGGTTCAGGTTAGAGATTAGGAGACTGTTTATTTCACTGTTAGGATGGCTAGGATCTGGAACCAACTTCCTACGGAAGTGGTCCTTGCTCCTACCTTGGGTAAATTCAAAAAGAGGTTGGATGAACACCTGTCTTGGGTTGTGTGATCCCAGTGTGTGCTCTGGCCAGTGGTGGGGGGTTAGACTAGATGATCTGTTCAGGTCCCTTCTGACCCCAAACTACTATGAAACTATGAAGTAGGGGACAGGACTAGAAGCAAAGGCCTCAAACTACAGCAGAAGATTAGGAAGAACTTTCTGACTATGAGGGTGGTCAGGCATTGAACAGGCTACCTAGAGAAATTGCAGAATTTCCATCCCCAGAAATTTTCAAGAGCAGATTGGAAAGACACTTAGCTGGGAAGGTTCAGTCACGGACAATCCTGTCAAACTGGGGGCTGGATTAGATGGCTTCACAGGGTCCCTTCCAGCCCTACTTTCCTAGGAAGCTATTATTCCATGTTCTGTATCAGAAGCAACGCGTAGGGGGTACATGTGCATCCCCTGAGAGTGCCAGTACACCCCCTGCCAGGTCACGCTCCCTCTTTAGTTGGCGGGGAGGGGGGCAGGCAGGAGCATCAGTGCCTCAGGTGCTGGCCAGGGAGCGGGACCCCCCACCCCAGTCGCTGACTCAAGAGGCACCAGATACCCATGTTTTGGATAATAAAAAAAACCCCACACTACATCACTATAGACATCTCTGGCCTTTCCAACAATTTAAGACAGTAATCACAGTAACCTTTTTAAAGCTATGAGCCTGAACAACCAAATTTGGGTTAGAGGCATGCAGGGGATGCTAGGACCCAGCTGCTGCAGTCACTTCTCCAAGCAGTACCATGGGGAAAGTGAGTGCTGCCACAACCACAGACCCGATCAAATGGCTCCATGGGCTGGATCCAACCCATGGCCCATGAATTACCAGCTCCTAATCTAAGAGATATTAGACAGATGCTCAGAGCTCCCCCCACCACCACCACCCTTTTCCTCTATTTCTGTTTCTTCTTTCATAGATTTCATAGACATTAGGGCTGGAAGGGACCTCAGAAGATCATCGAGTCCAGCCCCCTGCCCGAAGGGCAGGAAGTCAGCTGGGGTCATAAGATCCCAGCAAGATAAACATACAATTTACTCTTGAAGGTGTTCACTGTAGGTGCTTGAACCACCTCCGATGGCAGGCTGTTCCAGACCTTGGGGGCTCAGACAGTAAAGAAATTCTTCCTTATGTCTAGCCTGAAACAGTCTTGCAGTAGTTTATGACCGTTCGACCTAGTCATCCCTTGGGGCGCTCTGGTGAACAAACGTTCCC